AGTCCAGGTAGACCACATCTACAGCCTCTTCATGATCAGACAGCTCAGCTTAGCATAAGGATCCTCCTGTACTGGTAAGAAGCAATGGTTCTCTCCCCCAGTATTTAGAGTAGGTTAAAGTAAGGTTCAGTCAATTTTGCATTCAAAACTTAAGCACCAACGTTATGATCTTTGTGCCCCTGTATTATTGAATCGCACACCTGCGAAATGCTACCTTAGAAACCAAGCAGTCTATGAGAAGTTGAAATATTACCATTCCCTACCAAGTTTTTGCTTGTTCCTTTACGTATTGCCTCCTCCTTTCAAACTACAAGTTCAACATTTGATAGTTACTGCAACTGCCAAAGCGCTCCCACGCCATCACCTGTACTATCCTTTTGGTTTTACCTTCCTTTCCTCTCCGCTACCATTACTTTAGTGCCAGTCACAAGCTCACTCTGCAGGGGCTTCCAAAGCTGACAGCATGACAAACACCTCTAGCTTTATTCAGGACTGCACAGACACAGCACTATACCACTCACTCCTAACTGCTTTTGCTCTGACTATCTAAGAGCAGAAGGTCTAGCAGATGATCAATCAGTCGTTTCCTTTGGAGATGCTTTTGAACTACCCTGCATTGCAACAGAATAGCACAGAGACTGCAGAATTGAGTCAAATCTAAATGGAACGGAAATAATGCAACGTGTATGACATTAATAATTGAAGAACAGCAGTCATAACTGAATGAAAAATAGCACAAAGCACGGCTGCACTGGATTGACTCCCTTGTCTTCCACCTTCCATCACTGTTTCTATTGACAGCCCCCTCACCCCCAGCCTACTTGAGTGTGAAAAATTTGCTGACACTCGGCAGGTGGGGAGAAGAGAGGGAAGAAACATCAGACCTTTTGCTAGAGGTAACAATTGGAGCATTGACATACATTTCTTGGGAGGGATTTCAAAAAACTATATAATCACAGGTTTTAAAGAACAAGTAAACTCTAGGCAGAGAAACGATTCTTCATAAGGATTAAATGACAAAAGGATAGATAAATGACCTCTCAAGGTTCCTTCCACACTGGCACAAGTATTTTGTTCCTGAACTGGAACATACAAGTCAGACTTATTTTGTGGATTTTTTTTTTTTTTTTTAAATTTTCCAAGATCTGTCCTAACATCTACCAGCATTAAAAACTCTAAACTGCTTCTGCAGGGAAACAGTGAGAAGACTGAGGGAGGCCACATCTAACTGGCTGCAGTAAAGGAAGACAGGGAAGTAATACACATGAATTTTGGGAGACCCTCTGCCCTGAGTCTTGGCTTCCCATTTTTTAATTAATTCTTATGTAGATGGGCAGATTTTTCTATGGAAAAAGGATGGTAAGATTGAACTAGAACTGCTTGGAAGCCTGTAATAGGGGAAGAAAAATGAGCTGACATTAAAAATGCAAAAATTTCTGGATTTGAATTTCTCACACATGGCTGCACAAAAGGAGTTTGAAATGGATAACTGCCGAGCATGGCTGTATTTTTAGTGTTTGTACCCTCTCCTGTGATCCTTGTCAAGTGTGACTGGAATAACGTGATGACTGTCTTTTACATTCTTTTTTCCTGCTAAAAACCTTAAGTATGCGTAACAAAATGGACAAAAAAAAATTTTTTTTTAAACAAGCGAAGAGGGGAGAAATACCAAATTATGCTCTTTGCCTGCTAGAGAGGAACTGCCTTCTCAGATAAAACACAAGTGTTTGATCCAGAAATTACACCTACTGAAAGAAGAAACATGATCTGAAAGCAAAATATAATACAACCTATTGTAAGATCTAAGTTCAATACCATGGCACAACTGTTCCTTCGGTTTAGAGAGCCACTGTCTGTTAAACCAGTTAGTAAATTAAAAAAAAAAATAAATCCCTATTATGTCATAAGTCTCTAAGATAAGGACAGCTGCACTGAATCAGATAAAGTCTACAGAGAGCATTCTCCCTCCAACAATGGCTAAAAGCTACAGGAAGCTATTCTGGGACTACAGCAAGGTGAAATGAATACTTTTATGACCTGTAAACCCAGTAATATCTAGTTTCCTTTGACACTGCCTGACAGCCAGAGTCCTAGTGTCTAATAAATGCCAAGCTCTGATCAAAGTTGCCTGACTTCTGTCCTGCACACGTCCTCTTTTCTCTAGCAAAGCACAGTGAGCTTGTGCAACAGTTTCTCTCCTCAGGTTATTACTAGGGTTCTCTCTTTTTTTCCCAGGCACTCATGCTTTTGAAGTTCTCAAGAACCTCCCATCTTTGAGATCAAGGTCTTCTAAAATTGGTTGATCTCCATAGACAGGAAGTCAGCTGCTGAGGGAGGACAGAGCATGCTGCTGCACCAGAAGTAAGAAACTGAAAACAAACTTCTGTGTATTTCAGTGGATTCAAGTGAGGTCATCTATCTATCTTTACAAACAGCATTTAGTCTACCAAAGCATCAGGGGAAAAAAAAAAAAAAATCAAGCTGAGAATCTGAAGTATACAAAATCAACTCTTGATGGGTCAAATACGCAGCTCAGCAGGTAACTGCCTTTTAAATTCTTCCCCTTCACATTTGTTTTTGAAAAATGAAGTTACATTTATCTTGTACTACCCACATTATCCCATAACATTAAGCACTAAGCATACCTGTAAAACATGTTTGACTTGTTTCTACAAGTTTTCACTTAAAGGGGAGTCGAATTGTTAGAAAAAATATGTAATTATTGAACAAACGTGCAATTTCACTGGAATTAGTGCAAGATCTTTTTCCACTGAGGACAAAGAGCAGGGAACCACACCAGTAGAAGTTTTCAACATTCATATCTGACAGAGAACAACAAATCCTCTCGAGTTACTCAAACTCTTCAAGTGACATTACAAAGAGCAAGGCAACAGTCTGGGATTTAGAAGAGATGGCTGAAGTGGGAATGACTGCTCCACAACCCATCACATCTACTCCAACACAGCACAGAAACATATACCAGAAACCCTCAATCACACAGGAAAGTTCTCTACCTGCCAGAATATGAAAGAGAGGGAAGCAGCTTTAAAAAGACATGTAAGATTTTGTTAAAGAAGAAGAAAAATGTTCATTACTATCAAGCTGTTTAACTGCAGTAATCACAAATCACTTCTGGGGATATGAAGTCTGCCGCTGCTTTTTTGGGGTCATTTTGTTTGGTTTTTGGTAGGTTGTTTTTTTTCCCAAAAGATTAAAGAGGGTAAATACAAGATTTAAAGAGATGAGAGAAAACAAAGGAACAAGGGTTTCAGAGAAATGCTTTTGTTGCCTCCTTATGTTGGATTAAATACATTTCTATTTTTCTTTACTTTCATTGCTACTTTTGAGCTTACTGCTTATATTGCTTTCACACAACTCTTACTATATGAGACAGAGGGAGCAGAACAGTTGTGGCACAGTTTCCTAGTTCACAAATGGTTCCTTTAGGTCATACTACCCACACCAGGGTAGTGTAAAAGTTTTATTTACAAGGCATTTTGTGAATGTCATTAATTCCCTGGAAGTCTCATATATTATACCAAATTTCTTCTACTATTGTGTGGCTATGCTTAAGAAGTGAAGCTATCGGAGTCTGTCCTTTCAACAGTGAATCTGTCACGTCATTGCCACAATTCACCAATTTAAAACCCCAGCATATCATTCAATAAAACACTCTTGTTCCTATTCATTATTTTAAAGTGTCATTAAGCAGGAGCATGATTTTTATATCAATTACTTTTCACAACATTATCTAGGTTATCCAAGTGACCAAAGGGATGGAAATAGTGTAGGCATTTACAAATTTCTGCAAAAGAGCAGAAAAGAAAGTGTATCAGACCAGTCAGATCTGCAAATGAAACTCTAGATGCTACAACAGCAGAGATTTGGATTTAAATTAGTTATGCAAAAATATTTGGTTATGTTCAATAATGCTTTACTGTAGAATGGAAATGCTTTCTACAGATCAATGAAATTCCAACATCTTTGCCGGGCTAGTTTATCCATCATAAATAAAGCTAAACTAACAAGCCTAGAAATTACTTTCCTGTGACTTTTCAGAACAACTATTAAACTGCATCTTTTCATCTAAGTGGATGGATGTGAATGGATCCCTGTTACATGCACTGCCTGCATTTTGAAACTGGTCTGTTTTGAGCCTGTTACATTTGAATAACTTTCAAAATATTACAGATCATCTCAACTAAGAATACATGAAATCAACCCAGAGGAAATGCATTTTGGAATGGAATACACTTCCAAAGCAAGGAGTCACTGTTCTGGCACTCCTGGACACGCTGGCACACCGCACTAGGGAAACCAGCACCACTGAATGGACTACTAACCTCTTCAAAGTACTACTGTAATCCCAAGTTTTTCCTCACTCAGGGCTACAAGTTCACAACATGCTGAACACTGCTAGAAGTCAAATGCAAAGGACAGCTGTTTTACTCATTTCAGCACTAAAAATGGGGAGGGGAAAGCTGATGTATAGGAACATTATACATACCTGTCTAAATTTAGCTCTAGCCTCCTTTTCCTTCATCCTTCCATGTGCAACCAGATAGTCAAACACTTCCCCTACAATTCAATAATGAAATACATTAATGCCAATTTCAGAATCTAGAGATTCCTCTCTAGCAGTTGCCCACAGCAGCTTCACTGGAATAATTGTACTTCAAGTTTATGATTACAGGTTAGCTCAAGAGAACAAGGCACAAGTGCTATGCAATTTAGTACATCGTTATCTCTTATACAAGAAAATAATGAATGACTGGATATAGACAAACCCCCCCATTTCCTTCCAATTATTTATGATAGAAACTGAGCAGTATACTTCTGTTTTGTAAATAAAGACGACATGTACCCCTTCACAGACTTTCTCACAAGGATTTCTTTTGCCTCACAAAAAAAAAAGCCTCATATAAGAGAATGTCTGATGATATTTGTATTTTTCTTTGTGCACATGTATAAAATTGTTCTAATCAAAATGAAAAATCTTAGCTTTAACCTAGGCTTGGAAGAGGCACTCACAAGGAAGGTCACAAAAATGAGCGTAGCAGGACACACTGACATAATCCATCACACATCCATCAGATCTGTGAGAAACACTGAGAAGGATTACTCCTCAACAAGCCCAATGTTGTGTGGCTGTGGACAACTAAGGGAGATTACTAAAGCAGTACTAAAGATCTGTTGTGGCTTGGGGTTTTTCTCCCCTTTAATCGATCCAGTAATTCTATAGCATGTCAATGCAGACTGCAAAGTTTGAGCTTTAGGTGCAGTCAACCAGCCCATGAAAGACTGACACATTTGTGAGAGCATGGGAGATCTGCTTTACTAAAAACCAATAGTCACATACATAATAACTCCTACAAACACAGACTAGTACGCAGTTTTCAAAAGTCTTTGCTAATATGCAAAATTAATATAAAATTTAGAAGTGGATCAATTATCCAAATATTCTCTACTGAGCAAGAAAACATTGTTTTGGAGATAGCCACCTCACAAGGGAAGAGCTGAGTAACTTCACATTTATTTTTTTTTAAAGAAGCAACTCCACCAGATTGGAACAAAAACCCCAGTCATATAGCAGGAAAAGCAACAACTGAGCAATCTGAGGGCATGTCAGAATTGTCTACAAAATAGTCCTACTTCCCTCTGTAGTATATTATTTAATACTCAACTCTCTCCTAGCTATATTTCACAGCTGTTTCTTCAAAAATCTTGAAGGTTCAAACCTGAACACTTCTTCATAATTCAGGGAAAATGACACTAGAAAGAGAATTATCCCAAATTTATGCCAAGTGTTGGAGTTGTAGCAATAGTTTCTTTCATCCTGCAGCCACTGAATTCACATTCATCATGTGTGACCAGTATCGTGATAAAGAAGAAATATGGCAAGTTGATGCCTGCCACTGAGATGACCACCCATTCCTGTCTTACCATGGCACAGGCAAAGGTTACTGCTCCCGGCCTTTTAGACCAGTACAGTATGTATTTCTCCATTACCCTAAGAAAGATCCTCATCACTTTAGAGAACCGCTGGCCGTTCTGCCTCCTAGAAGCTAATCACTAGATGGCAATAAGAATTCACTTTTAAGGCTAGTACCATCAAACAGTAGAGAGATGCCTCCACAAACACCTGTACTAGCCAATATTTTAACGGTATTTTACCAACTTTGTTTCTGTTTAGACAAATCTTGGCTGAGCATTCAGGGAGCTGCTAGAAGAAAACATAAGCAGGTAGAGAATCATTATTTGATTTATAGTAATTCATTAAACTTCACGTAATCTAACGTCAGAGTCAGAATTCAATGCTGATTTTCTGAAAAGAAGTCTCTGGTATCTCCCAAAACTAAAGAAAAGCCTCAAGTATTTGAGGCTCCCAGCTGCTGATGCTAAAGGGTCACAGTGACAAACCGAGTGCTATTAGGTTTTAGCCAGCAAGGAGTAACTTAATCCCGAATAACTCAACTCCAGCTCTGGTGAAAATATCTGACATTGTATTATGCCCGCCTTCCCCCCAACCCCCCTGCAATCAGGAACAAATGTTTAAGTTCCTCCTAAAACAGCATAAGGCTAAGCCTAACAATTCTTGACAGTAGGTGGTCTGTGATTAAGATATGTCAAATGTCATCAACAGTTAAAAACCAGAAGCTGCAGTACTCATGCTTTTGAAAGCAAGAGTTAAAGAAATGCAGAAGTGTTTCATCTGAACATGTTTTTACCAAGTATCTTACACAAAATAGGACACCAGAGGTAAGGAGCTGAATACAATAAATTGAGAAAGTTGGCATTTGTTACGGACAAGAACAACTGACGGCCAAAGATTCCCATTAAATCCGAGTTGTGAAAACAAAGCAAATGTTACTACATTGTAGTAAGTTCAGAAGCTGGTTTTACAAGTTATAATTAATTACGTTGCCCAAAGAAGTCCCAGAGAATAATATTAAAGATTTTGCTTAATATTTTACACTACCATGACATTAATATTTGCTGAAAAAGAAAGCAAAACTTTAAAGAAAATAAGTGCTTTCTTGCACTTGGCAATTTGTTTACCTGTGTCATCACAGCAGAGAGGTACTTACCCCCACTTGCATATTCCATTATTAAATAGAGAGTTTTTTCCGTTTCAATGACTTCAAATAGCTTCACTAGAAAAGAAATTTATTAATCAGTTAATTAGTTGTAGAAGTATTATGTTAACCCCACAGAGAATTCTGTCAGAGAAAAAAAAGAATTTGCTTGCTGCTTGACAATATCAGACTATTACTCTAAAGAAGCTTTTTCTGTATAATGTTCCTAAATGGAAAACACTGTAACAAATTTGGTCAACTCACAGAGAACACTTCCTCAAGAAACAATACTTTGCTTCTGTTACACGGGAAAAGCAACTAAATTAAGCAGAAATTCCACGGATTTGAGCATCAGCAATAGCCACTTTTATGCACTGAACTGGCATACATGATGAAAAAGGGTGAAAAATGAGTTATCAGTCAGTTTGCTGACAGTCCCGTAACAATACTACATCATTTAAACATACAATCCTGAACAATTTCTTGACCACTTCCTGGTTTTGGTATACACTTATTTTTAATGAGAGTCTGAATTCAGTCAAAATCAGTATTATACTGAAAAGAAGCAAAATTAGTTATGCAAATAACTAATAACAAATAACAGTTACGTGCAAAGCATTTGACCAAAGCATTTTTTTGTTTTGTTCTTTTTTTTTTTAAACACAACAGCTCTGAAAAAGTTATTTATTACTGCTACTTTACAGTAAATTGACAGTCCAGTGCAGAATCATCTTTTAAACACATATCACAACAATTTTAAGAGTGAAAAAGCTAAAATTTCTCCAGAGTTGGAAATTATGGAAAGAAGCAAGGTACCTATATTTGGATGATTTAAGATCTTCATTATTCTTACTTCTCTAAAGAGCTGAAATAAACATAAAACAGGAAGTAAGTTAATGAAACAGGTAACATCCATTCTTCCTAAAGCCTGATCATTTTGATATACTTACTTAAACACAAAGGGCAAACATTACTATGAGTATATCAAGGAAGTTCACAAAACAAGGACTTCTTGGAGGAAAGAGTTAAGTGCTTGCTTCTTTTAATAACCCTCCCAAAAGAAATCAACCCTCAAAAACCTGAAAACACCCACTAAGCGCTGCAGATAGCTCAGGAGAGAAGTCATCTTAGCTCTCTGGCTAGCAGACTTTTGGGGTCAGAAGACCATTATGAGCCCTCGCAGCTTCCTGCTGGCCAGTACATCTCTCACCATCTTTCACTGGCTTCAGAGAAAACGTTGTTTACAAAGTTTACATACCACTGCAGTATGTTACTGGTATGAATTCACTACTCCTTGGTACTTCATTATTGGAAGTTACTGGAAGTTACATGGAATTACTGTGCTACAACAGGAACTTAGAGGTGAAAAAGCAGCTGCTTGTATTGCACAAAAAGCGTGTTATCCAACTACACCAGCAAGACACAATTTTTAAGGAGAGATGGGGAGGCAAGACTCCCCCATGGCCCTTCAGAAGTGTTCCCACAAGGCGATGGAGGCACAGTAGCATCTCATCCCAGGTTTGTCATCGCAGCTCCACTGACTCACTGCCAGACATCCAGTCTCCAAGCCTGCTCAGCCAGTACAACACACTGAACGTACTTGCCAAAACTAATAGGGCAGGACACAAACGGTGTTTTCCTGACCCCAGCAGACAGAAGAAACACCATGACTTCAGGGGTAGAGACTCAAAGGGATCAGCCTGCTCCCACCCTCTTCACCATCCACCTTCCCATGCAACAGGATTGTACCGCTTCCCTTCATGCAAGCGCTGGTGTTAACCCAGACTGATGCACAAGGTCCAAGAAAGAATCTACCAGAAAAATCTCACAGAACACACAACCCGCCCAAAACAAAAATACTCCCTCTCTAAGTTTTCTGTTGCAGCTCCCTGGCCCACCCCAGCACACCTATTTTGGCAGGATGGGTGGTGAGAGAGTATAGCTGCCCATTTCAAGCTGCACCATGACATTACAACGGTGCTGCATCCAGAGACCGCATACTGATTTTAAGGATCTTGTTCCCTGTCCCTGCCAATTCCCATGTGAAAAGGGTTTTGCTTGAGTAGTTATTTCCAAAGAGTTCAACTTTACCTGTCACACAGAGTAAACTTTGTCCTCCTGCAACTGGACAATAATATGGGAATGACATTTAACAAACCACAAATGAAAGCAAAGACTATTACTGATCAGCTGTTAGTTATTTTCACCTCTGAAAACTCTTCTGCAAAAGACAATTGTAAGATGCACATAAATCCATAAGTGTAACACTAAAAATGCCACAGCTGTCGCTACTGCGATTTAAAAAATTGTTTTTAATGGAGTTGGTTAATAGCAGATGAAATAGTCCCACTTTTTCTCCCAGAAAAGATCCAAGATAAAAAATTGTTACAAAAAACCTTGAAGTGCACACACTATTGTATTCTGAAAACACAAAGAATTCTCTTTTTAGGCAGTACGCTACATGGCAGTCAAGTGCGTAGCTGTTTTCCCTCTGCAGCTCCCGCCATGCCAGCCCAAGACTTCAGAGGGTTGACAATCTTACTCCTTGATTATTTTCTAACAGCATGCTTCAAAAAGCGGGAGTAATCAAGACGTTTTATTACAAAACTAACACCAACTTCTACAGGAATACTAGTAATATATAGCAGAACGTATTGAACTTAATGTAAAGAGACTGAAGCAGAACAAAAGTCCACAGCTCCACAGGAATGTAGACACTGGAAAAAGAAAGTTTTGTAAATAAGAGGTAACAGCATTGTTATTAACAGTAAGGAAGTAGAAAGTGCTGCTGCAAGATTTGCCTCAGGTCAGATTTCAGACAAAGTGAAGACATTTAATATGTCTACATGTATTACTAAGGACTCAAAAATCTGTAGGTGTACTTTCTTGATAAAAGCAAAAAAGAGTGAAACATAGGAAACAAACAGAAAACAACCAAAGAGTCAACAAAACAAAATCCTTGTGTCTTTGTGTCTCCTAATAAAAGAAAAGGCAGGGGGTGAGATTTGAATAAATATATAAATAAATAAATAGGAGAAAAAAAAAATATCACAATTTGAAGACGAGTTGTTCTAACCATTCTCTGCTTTCTGATGTTTTTGTAAGGGCTATTACTTTTATTAATTTGGGGAGTAATCCTCATTGCACTGCCCAACAGATCTTCTCCCTGATGCTACAGTCACAGCTGTGAATGGCACACTACCTGAACACAGAGTAAAACCAGACAGTTTTCCAAATGCTTTTAATTATCTTATTATCATTATCCAGGTCTACGCCTGACACTTCACTAGATGACAAGCTGCTTAAATGCAATAAAGATTGATTGATCAAGTAAATTTTTGGCCACCTAAAATAAGCTTCAAAAACTACACATGCATGTTTTCTTTCCCCCCCGACAGATATGTAAATTGCCCTTTTTTTTTTTTCGCCCACTATGTTATTTCTGGAGCTTTTTCATACATAATTAGACAAGGTAGACTACTTCACCATCTTTCTCTCGATCATGAGAAATTTAAAAGCAGTTGAATCTGCAGCTATTTTTTTCTTATTTTTCACTCAGTCCAGCTGAACCAGTATTTAACATATTCTGAATACTATATTAATACTTTTAATCACAGCTTATATAACTGAAAGCCTCTGGTCAGCTTTTAAAGTTTTCAAGACAGTTTGCTTAATTAGCTCTCAAATGATTGTTAATATCTTCCAACCCAAATACTCAGATAAAGCCTGTTGGGTCAATCTTTCAGGAAGGGCAACTCCACTGCCGCACAGATGAGGACTTCGGCTGTTGTTCAGCCGCTAGCCTATTTATCATCACCTCACCCACCTAAGAGAAAGATATGTTCATAAGATTAAGTATGGGAATACAGGCAGCCACAATTGGTGCCGCCACACAAGAACAGTCAAACAAGGGCAATATAGAATAAGACAGTACAAATGAGGCTAAAATTCACAACATCATGTAAATTAACATATTACATTACTGTAATTTTTTTTTAAATAAAGTATGCTGACTTGGCTGGAGCTAGCTACTTCGTCCATTGTACACTGTACACTTTGATGGTCTAATGTGATAAAGTCAGGCTCATACTACATTTTGGGATGCTCTAAATATAACATTGGTCCACAAGACGACTACTCTGCATTACTAACCCAAATGAAGCATGTCAAAAAGTAGGTTCTACATTTGAGCCATTTGTTGAAGCAGGTAACTAGAAACAAGTTTTTTAATAAAAGACTACTTTCGTCTCAGAAGAAATTAAAAATACTTGCAAATAGGATACAGTCACTAGCAAATTCTTTATTATAATTTTAGATAAATGTACTTCAGATTGTGCTCTCCTAGTCAGTGCAAATGGTTGACGAGACTCTCCACATGATCCAGCAATGTGCACTCACAGCCCAGAAAGCCAACTGTATCCCAGGCTGCATCCAAAGCAGCGTGACCAGCATCCAAGGCTGCAGCCAACGCAGCGTGACCAGCAGGTCAAGGGAGGGGATTCTGCCCCTCTGCTCTGCTCTGGTGAGAGCTCCCCCACAGTACTGCCTTCAGCTATAAGGCCCCCAACACAAGAAGGACATGGACCTGCTGAAGTGAGTCCAGAGGAGGCCACAAAGATGATCAGAGGGAGGGCTGGAGCACCTCTCCTGGGAGATCAGGCTGAGAGAGTTGGGGTTGTTCAGCCTGGAGAAGAGAAGGCTCCAGGGAGAGCTTAGAGCAGCCTTTCAGTACCTAAAGAGGCCTACAAGAAAGCTGGGGAGGGACTTTTTACAAGGGCATAGAGTGATAGAGCAAGGGGCAATGGCTTTAAACTGGAAGAGGGAAAATTTAGTTTACATATAAGGAAGAAATGCTTCATGGTAAGGGTGCTGAGGCACTGGAACAGGTTGCCCACAGAAGCTGTGGATGTCCCATCCTTGGAAGTGTTCAAGGCCAGGTTGGATGGGGCTTTGAGCAACCTGGTCTAGTGGGAGGTGTCCCTGTCCACGGCAGGGGGGTTGGAACTAGATGGTCTTTAAGGTCCCTTCCAACCAAGCCATTCTGTGACACTATGATAAATGTGTGGTATTTTGACACAGATAGCAACTTCCACAGGGATATCTGCAAATGCTTGACATTGTATCATTTATTATAGTCTATTTCTGATAGAGGAATACAATGTAAAACATCATATAACTTTCACACGGTACGCTAAAAAAGGTTTCCCAGATTTCATTTGCCCAAAATATTACGTGCATCACCTTCTAGAAAATGAAGCAGTAATTAACATCACACAGTAATTTTCATTGCAAACAGCCAGGTATGATAAAAGCCCACACATCTGAGGTTCTCTGCCACAGGAACACAGAAGGTGGTGTAACATCACAAGACATTAACGCGAAGGTTCTCAGTACAGAAAATAATATTCTTAGTTTTAGGAACTTACTTGTCATAATGAGACCATAAAGACAATCTACTGAAAACAGTGCTTCTCAGTTTAATTTCAAATACCACGATCAAAAAGTACTCCCAACTTGTTGAACATTTTCCATCAACAAGAGCTCTACAAATGTTTCTAGGCAAAGACAAACATCCTTAGTCTGCCAAAAAATGGCTTTCAGCTTTATTGTGGTCTGGTCCTTTGACTGTAAGCCATGTTAGATACGGGGAAAGAATCACAATTACTGCTGCTAGCTGACAAACCAACTAAAAAAAAAAAGTCAACAAACCAGCAATGAAACCACAGACACATACTGAGTAATAATCTTGAATCAATTTTACTTGAACTTTATTACGCTGACATATCCGAAAAAACAAGGGAGTGGGGGGAAATCAGGATCCATCTTTTATGCCAACTCTCTTTGAACATAGCAAAAGATAGATTAGACATGTTCCTGCATTAGCTATTGCAACAGTTTCAGTAACAAATTATTTCAAAAATACCAAAAAAAGTTTGCTAAAAAGCAAGTCAGTACACTCATTAGATGCAGAAGACCAACATATCCTGGCCTCCTTCCCCTCAAGGGAGGGGCTTTTCCACAAAATGTTGTCCCAAGCCAGTTCAAGCTTGACCTGTGTATTAGGTTCCTCCTGACAACTGCTCACTGAAATATGCCCTACACATAATTAGGAGCCTCAAGCAGAAAGTCTTTACACAATACAAAGTTTGCCTCAAACAAACCACAACTTGAAAACAGAAAAAATACTTCTTATAAACAGAAGCTTTTTCTTGCAGTTTTTAAAATACTGATTGACCCACAGTCAGAAAGGACATGGTCCATGTTAAAATTGATGTTTAAGAACTCTAAAAAGCTTTAACAAGAAAATGGTCCAAACAAGTGGCAAAACATCTGCACATAATGAACAAAAATATTTGGCTGAGGAGCCAAGTTCTAAAAAAGGAAAATGAGAAGTCATTTAGTGCTATTACATGGGCTTGGTAAAAAAAAAAAAAATAAAATACAACAACTTGCATATAATAGCATTGCTAACTCAAAAGAAAAAAAAAAAACACAATTTTTTTTTTAGCCTAGGAAGAAGTGAACTACCATAGCATCAGCACTTGTTTCCAGTGAGACCAATATTCACTGGAACTGGGTACACAAGTACATTTGTGGAGAACAGTGATTATGACTAACACCACCAGCATGGGAAAAAGCTTAGAGCTTTTCTTTCAAAGCAGGGAAGTACCGATTACAGTTTCCTCTTCACTAAGCATGAGCAGCAGAGTAGTAATTAGGTCCTAAAGCAACAGTTAAGAGTAGTCGCATGTGGCTACCACAGACTTCCTCAGCAGCAAAGAAACCTGACTCTTCTGAAGAGCTGCACTGCTGAATATCGAGCTGTCAGGACTGCAGCCGCCCGTAGCTCACTGCAAGGGCATACCAAGAATTATTGCTCCAGAAAGCAAAGCAAGTCCTTAACAAGGTTAACTTCTATCTGGCAGCTGAAGTATCAGTGTAGAAGACGTAATACAAAGAAATCAGAACTAGCAGCCTTAATCACCATTTGTTTCCCCACCTAAGGATGACTGGGGTATGCAGCTATACTGCAGCTGAGACACTATATACCACACCCTCTTCTGGCACAGCCCTTCCCTCTCCACCATACCTCATATTTTATCACTCCCTCTAGAAGTGCAAGATCAGAAGCGCTTCCATCTTAGCTTCCCCTGCATCTACAGGTCGTGTGCGCAGTTGGCTTCAAATGCACCGAGGCTACAGCACTGCTGACAGTGTTGGGGGAAAAGGGGCGAGGGTTTGCAAAAAAAGCCTTCATCAAGCAAAACTGGCAAGTAATACATAGTGCGCTCACTCTGCTTTCCATGACAACCAAGCATTTAAGAAAATTACTTTCAATTTTTTAATTGAGAACACTGACATACCTTGCTAATTTTTTTCTGTGCTCATATTACAAATGAGCTTAGAGAGGAGAGTGCATTAGCAATCTCACTCCCCAAATTTGATCTGATTTCTAACCTGCTATTTTGTACTATTCTTCCAGAGTCACATTCAAGAAATTCAGTGGTAGACGAGACTAATTTACAAATCACAGTTTATAATCTAATTTTATAAATTGTAAATAAAAATGAAATTACCATGGAGACAGGAGTGGACACTGAGCAGGCTAAAACCCAGGAATCAAATGGCCAACAAGCATGTGTCAGCTTGTGGCTTTGTCAACTGAACACTGTGACTTGTAAAAGGTTTGCTTTGTACCTTAATATGAGCTCAAGATAGCATTATGTCCCAATCTCAAGATAATACCATTTGAAGGATTAAGAGTTTACATTTTTGTCTGAAAACATGGCCTCTCTACTTTTCTCTGACCATTCTTCCCATGCCCTGATCCGTCCCCTTCATACCACACAGCTTTTGTTTCTCTTCCAAATGCTTCAAGCCTTTAAGAATTTTTTCAGGTATTCCAAGTTGCACAGATCTGCCACACAAATCAACTTTATCTAATCCATCATATTATACTTTGCATTTCATTTCCTCCACGCTTACCCGTAAGTTACCAATAACCTCAGGGATTAAGCTGAAAAAAAGCTCTGAGAAAACTGGAACCACATTATATACTTTTACCCAGTCTACAGAATCAGCAAAAATCAGACGATGGAGCTTTTCTTTTATAGATTATTCTTTGCCTCTCAACCAAACCATACAATGTAAGAACTTACGTGTTTTTCCACTTTACTTTTACATCATTAATTTTGATAAAAACATCTCGTCACACAATCTTTTTGGTATTTGCATAAAATCCAAATGTGTGTACTCTCCAGTTTACTCTGGCTATGCTATTTCATTTTGTTTGCAGCTAACTTCTTGGTATTCTCTCGTTCAAACAGAAATATTGCAAGGAGCTTTTTTTATCAAAGTACTGAAAAGTAAATAAAGAGCCTTTGACTGCAGCGCTTAAAAGGACAGAGTTAGAAAAGTCCTAGGTAAAAGTAACATTTCAATGTACTTCCTGCAGGCACTCCAAAGCAGAGTGGCTGGCTTGATGAAAGAGCAGGATTTATCACTACTTACTAAAATAGATAAGGCGATACAACTGTAACAACATTAAACATTTGAGGCTAGAGGGAAGAAACCAGAATAGCCATGCCCCAATTTGTTCCATAAAAATGTATCACCTCTCCTGCTGCAAACTATGTGAAAGGCATAGATACTGCCTGGCCTTCAGTCCAGAGGCAGTATTTTCAAGGCCAGTTTAAGAGGAGAAAACACAAGTTTTGTATTTGTAAGTTTAACAAAGTGACCAGCATGAAGGAGATGGGGGGCACAACAGCAAACCACAAATGTCCTCTCTACAGACTTAGTTACGCTTGGGAGAGAAAGGAAGTGGCTAACACCACTGTTTTCTCAGTTTACAGCTCTGTATGAGTTCATCTTGAACAACTGCAGGGTTGTCAAAAATATCCGTTACAAAACTAGTTATTAAATACAGTAGTCAGATGTGTGCAAGGTATGTAATGCTTCAGATTCTCCAGCATAGGCATTCAGGGTTAATGGAAGGAGGTGGTAAAACAAAAGAAGTTACAATACGGTTGAAAGATTAAATGTAAAAAACCTACCTTTTGTAGACTGGTTGGGTTCAGCTGTGTTTTGTCAATTATTTTTATGGCAACCTAAAGGAAGAGTTCATAGTCAGTATTTTCCACATGAACAATGCAGCATTATTACAAGATGGTCAAACCCAGTAACAGAAATGGAACACACGAAAACTATGCAAAAACCACTCAAGTTTCTTCTGCAAATTATGTACTTGTATTTAAACTAAAAATATTTGGAATTAATGGCCAAAGTGTAATTTACTTCTACTTCAATAAAGTAAACAGGAGAGTGGAAAAAAAACCTCTAAGTGTATTAGGATCAGAAGCTCACTTAGTCTTTTGCATGACATTAAGACCATGACGCTTACTACAGTGGAAGCTCCAACACTGGACAGTGTCCCGATAGAGAGCAGCGTGCCTACAGATAATAGTTACATAGTATAATTACACAACAGATTATATAGTACTGACTGGGCATTGGCAGTTTGTGAAGATGCCTCTAAAAGCAGAGACTCCAGAGCAAATTGAAAGTAATTCCACACAGATTTTGCAAGAACTAAGTTCATATTTGGAAACTGACTGAATATTTGTATCAATTTACTCCTTGATGGATATGAAAAGAAGTATAACTTGTGCATCAACAAAAAACCATTGGCTGTAGTACAACAAATCAGGTAAGTCCATTCCTTTACCGGTTCTCTTTTCAGTAACTACTGCACAGAAATATTAAAGAACAAAATTAAAATTTCACAAAATAAGAAAAAGAGAAATTCAGTACCATGGTAACTAGTCAGAACCTGAAGATTTGAGGCAATGAATAGGCAACAGAGATGAGCTTCAGTGCAATGTAATTTGGATACAGGATAGAATAGGAAATGGGAATCCTTCTAGAATTACATGCCAATTGGTATTTTTCCTTTCTAAATTAGAAACTAAAGGTACCAGAAGAAACTCTACAGAAGCCAAGGAGATGGTGCGTCTCAGAGGTAAGATGCTGCAACTCAGCTGATTATAATACCTCACTGGTGCAAAGCAAGGGCTTTCAATTCCCCTTGAATTTTTGGCTCAAACAGTAGATGCCACTTCCCTGCATTGCTTTGTGCGATCTCTGTCATCTCCTTAACTTGGGGTTGGCAACATATGGAATAAGGAGTATTTTACATCAAAGCAAATTTATATCCCTACATTCAAGTGCAAAACCACATGGATGGATCATCCTGATGGAGAGAGAAAGAGGGGAACAGAGTGTTCAACACACGGGTGCATCACAGAATTATGTGATGAATATGCTGTGTTCTGAAACTGAGATTCAAGATTTATTTTGAGCCCTTCTAGATGCAAGATACAACGAGATGTGACCAAGAAGCCATCTAAGAACACTTTTGCTTTGCAGAGTATTTTCTTCTAAGGTATGCTACCGAAATTAAATATCACTATTTCCTAAGGCAAAATTCCATTGCAAAACCTTGAGAAATCACTTCAAAAATACAAACAAGAGAGAAACACAGTAAGCAATAGGTACTTTTATATTAGCAGCTGTGTACGAAACCAAGATTTTTATCTCTACGTTTATGCTTGCTGAACTATTGTCACAAAGGTAACAAAGTTGTTCACTTCCTGCAATCTCATAAATCAATGATGGATGTAGACCATTGCCTTTGTCAACAGCAAATCATGTTACCTGAAAGCCACCTGGTGTCCCAAGACTACCCACGCCACAGGACACGGCTGTCTGCTTGGTAAGTGCATTCCACTCAGGAAAAGTTGCATTTGCGTTCTGAGCTGTACCATGCTGGTCAATCTTTGAAAGACAAACTTCTTTCAACCCATGAAGTCTTAGAGTACTGGGTTTTTGCAAACACAGACCACCTCTCTCACTGTGCACTGGTGTCAGATGATCAGAGAGGTCTCCAACACTGGCAAATAAATTCAGCCCTGGAGATACAGGGAAGATACACACCTCGGTTCTCTAAAAGGCAGACTCATAGGCCTGTTCAGTGCACTAATTATAGCCTTAAAGGCAGGACGAATTTAGAGAATTCCTATCCACATAAACACTGAACGTACAATGTGTTAACACTGACTTGGAGAGCTTGAACCCATCATCAGAACAGGGAGCAATTTCAGGTGCCTTGACGAGGTCTCCAGATCACAGGCAAAGGGAGCTTGCCCTCAAGAATAGTTCTGAGGAGCCTGACAAAGAAAATCCTTTGTTTTATTACACATAGTTAAAAAGCATCAAATTGCCTTCCAAAACAGAAACTTTGCTCTCTTTACACAAAGTGAGCCTGGAATTGTTTCAAGTGTTGTGTGCTATGCCCAGTGTTGGAGGAATGCAAGTCCACTTATACTATTACACTGCTGCATCAACCATGATATTCTGTGTGAGATAGCAGAATTAAAATTAACTTTGCTTTCACCATTCACAATAACGTGACTTAAAACATTCCTCCTACATGACTTGAATGAGGGAGTTAAAGCAATCAGAAGTTGAGACACTGAGCAAGTTGGCCAAACCTCTAACATTCAGACTGTTTTCTCCCTCTTAAATTTCACTTTTTCCAAAAGAAGAACAGAAAGAAGATGACAATAGATTCCTTGGAGTCAGACTTGGATCCTGAAAGAATCCGGTCTCACTAGGAAACTTCAGCTTCTTGGCTATTAACTGAACACATGCCTTTAACGAACAGAAGGATCCATGTATTTTTTTGGCTGTGATTCCAACCACCTCAGTAACAGCAAAAGGTAGTTTTATCTTACAGATTAATTTTGGCAAGTATGGAAAACTTGTCAGAGTAAATAACTTTTGATAAATTACAACAGAAAATACAAGGCTTAAAGTAAAAAAATTAACAAAAGCAGGTTTACAATGAAGATTCTTGGTTTCAAAAGGGCAGACAGACTACAAATAATACTCTGCTAGACAGAGGATCCAGGAGTGTGTTTCCAAACACCAGCTCTAGTGCAGTGAAGCTAACCCCCCCGCCATACCTCTGCAGTAAGCTGAAGGCCACACCCTCCTTGGCAGGACAACTCAATCCCCCAAGTTAGACTGATGTTCTGATCACCCCCCAAAGGGCTAAACATTTCTCCCTTTCTGTAATTTGAGGCTGGGCTCTCATCATACATCCTGCAGACACACTAAAGACGGAAACGAAAAGGAGTCCTGGAACTTAGTCCAGTTTGAAACATGAAAGCTGTATCTCAAGAAACAGGAAAATTCATAGGGAAGGACTCCAGATGTAAGGAGATGAGCAACTACCCTAGAAGAATGCTTGAACAAATATACCCGCCTCCCAAGAAGTGACAGAAAAGTGTTGATCTGCTGCATGATTTACAAGTTAATCAGCGCAGAGATATAAAGAAGGAATTGCCATAAAGTGAAACTGAACTGGACACTTAGAAGAACATTAAGAATAGCTGCACAGGTAACAAGGAGAAGCAACTAGGGTTCAAAACCAGCAAGGATACAGCAGAGATAAAAACTCATTTAAGCATGACTCCCAAAACTAGCCATTTTATTTTAGGTTTTGGTACATAAGATGGAAAAGAGAACAGGAACAAAGACAGGACAGCCAGCAAGAATGAGTGTGTAAAGCAGGAAATCACAAATTCAGGAAGATGAGTGCCGTCTGGCTCAGGCCAGACTGAGAACATTATCCTGGAATTCTCCAGAGTGGCAGGTTTAAAAGGGGGGGGCGGGGGGAAGAAAAGAAAAAAGCATTCTTGTAGCCCAGATTTCTAACATCTATGAAGAACAAAACTGTAGCACAGCTTTAGAAATTAGCAGGCTTAAATTCTTTTTTTCCCCTGTAGTAGGGCCATTTACCACAAAATTCTTGAGCTTGAAACTTGCAGCGAAAAAACAGGGAAACAAACAGAAGGGTTAAATGCAACATATTTTCCTACAGTTAATTGTGCTCTATGGAAACACAGAAGATATGACTATCTGGACTATAGTAAAGCCTCATCTAGGAGGATGCATGGAAATTATGGAACTAGATAAGCTGAAATGTGCACAGAGCTTTTTTAATTAAAAAAAATGGCTAAAGAGATATCAGGTTGGAAATAAATAAGAGTTTTTCAAGGACAAGACTTGGAATCAATCTTGTTTAGTATCTGTATCAGTGGCCTTGGCATGGGAAGTTAAACCATGATTAAGTCTGTTGAAGGAGTTAAGAGGCACCATCAAATACAATGGAAAATTGATAGAAACAACCTTGGAGATGAGTTAGCAAAGAAAGTGAGATTCAACAAAGTACAGGATGCTGTTGCCGATCGCAACCAAAAAACATCAATGTGGCAGCTGTGAAAAAGGTTAGCACATCTAAAGATCCATCAGCTAAATACTTCTGTAAGGGCAAGGGTAAATTAATGACACTGGGGAAACTTATCCAGAATATTGTGAACAATTCTGGTCAAACATATCTAAAATATATAATTATTAACAATGCTGTACAGTTCACCTAGCAGGAAAATAAACTTTTACTCATCTCTCTTACAAAGAAAAAAAATAAATCTAAAATACCTTTAAGATATTCCTATAAAACTAGCTTAATCATTCCCTTCAAAGGAATGCCACTCATTCTAAGTAACCAGGACCAATGGTCACATCCTGGGAAGTATTTATGCTCTGAATTGATCAAATGACATCTATTCCATGAGAGTTAAAGAAACTTAGTACTTCAATTTTTTCAAATTTGGCCAAAGATTTTAAACTGTCACTTTATTTGTTGAAATTTCAAACAAAAATAATGAACCAGAGATTAACACACAGTTATGTGCAAGTAAAAGAAAATGTACTTCAATTTTTGCAAAGCACACACGATACCTATCTCCAACTCCTATACCTATCATAATAGCAATGAAATACTAACCAAGTATTTGCATTTCCTGCGCTAAGTATCAGTAAAAAGAGGAGGGAACTTAAGTGGAAAGCAATTAATCAAAAACTTTGTCTATGAACAAGCACTAACTTTAACACCAGAAGACAACTGCTGATAACCAGAACTGACAGCTTAAAAAAAAATAAATCCCTCCCAACAACTCCTGCAAAATGACATCCTTCTGTTCCTCCTAGTGCTACTGAACTCCGTATTAGCTCAGAAAAAAGCAACTCCCTTAAAACACTGCAGTCAGCCACATAGCTTTAACAGCCCTTACCAGTATCAGCAAACATTTACTTCATTAGACAGGTTTGGCAAGAAAAGGTCAACAAGGTGTTTCTCCCTCTTTCAGTATCTAGAGTTGCTATTTATAAAACAGCACCAAGAAACATCTTTTTGCAACAAGCAAACAGGACTACAGCTCACCAAATCAGAACCATTATTACATGCGAGTTAATTGCATTGCAACAGCATGCAGAAACTAATTATGGAGCTGAGCTGGACACTATGAAAAGATACAAGGGAAAACTTGTCTACACCACACGACACTGAGCAAGACACACAAACCGGCTCTGAACAAACTGAAGTGTCTTCCCAAGGCTGCCCAGCGCTGCAGACACCAGCAGAACTCCTGGGAGATACATTGCTTTGGCAAGAAAATACTGCATTTGGGCTACCCCAATCATAACCAAGAAGATACATTAATTCTCATTCCTGACTTCCCCTCCAATACAGCCCTGCACTGTGCAGTATAGACACATCAAGAAGTCATCTTTCCAGCAAGCTTATTTAATTGCTATATATTGAGCACTATTTTGAGAATGGAGAATTTAGCAGAGAATTCTAGCAGCTGAACACAATTCAGTTGGACAGGGACTGGTCAAAAATATAAATTTAAGAGACCATTTTCAAGAGATTGTTTTGCAATAGTTACTAAAAAAACAGTTTTCCATTTCTATTTTTTTCTACATCAGTGGCAGTATCTCTAGTAAAATGTGCTAAATGTTCACAGACTTAGATGATGCTATTCCAACAGAACCTTCACATCTACTGCAATTCACTACTGTTTACGCCCATACCACTTTACCTCTCTGCCAGTTAGGATGTGCCTTGCCAGTTTTACTTTTGCAAAATTCCCCTTTCCAATCGTTTTAAGGAGTCTGTAATTTCCAATATGCGGCTGCTCATCTGCGCAGGAAGCTATAGAGTTCCTGCAGCGAGCTCCAGAGCGCCCAGTTCGAGAGGAAACTTCCTGCCGTCCATCTCCATGGGATGTGTGCTGCAATAAAAACATACACAGATAAGGCTGAGAAATAAAGACAAAACACATCAATGGTGAGAAGCATACAACATTCAAGAACATTAATAACGCCTTTGAAGAAACCTTCAAAGGATCCAACTCAAACTTCAGATTCATGCTGAACTCCGCTCTGACGGCGACAATAAAGAGGCTCCCAGTTCATAACACAATATCCATTTCATCACCTGGTAAAGGCCAAGTGGAACATCACCTGAACTGCAGCAATAGTTGAGTATTTTAAAGTAACTTAGGTGAACTGCCTAATTAGTTATGGAACACGGAGGTGTTTGATATTATTTCCCATTTGCATCACTGTGCCTAACTAGCGCAGCAAAGTCTTTGGAAAGGAAACACGAACAAAGCTTTTCCAAAAGCACACACAGTAAAACATTCACCCTTATTGGATAGTTTAATACTACTGATAAAATAATAACAGGGCTTTTTTCCTCTTGTACTAGACTCCTGTTCCTACAAAACCTCAGGACTGAAAATACCCAGGACAGACTGGAGAACAAGGGAAGAAATCTTACCTAATGTATGGAAACCTTGGATATTAATAGGCTGAGCACCAGTTACAGAGATCTGAGGTACCATCTGCAATCTATTAAGTTCCCTTCACTCAGTTTCTCTGAACAGCTATGAATTGTAAAAATGAATGGGTATATATCAAATCTATAACAGTCTTTATTCGTTAGATTACGTGGTTAAGATAACAGTAAAGTATTGTTTCATTTCCTGACAGCCTGTTTATGGAACAGCAGGTCCCCTCATGTTCTCAACTCATGGTTGAGGTCTGTACACCAACTTCACTAATTAAAGTATTAGTTAGAAACACTCAGTAGTCTGCAAATGTGGAGCAAACACCTGGCTACACAGAAGATGACACGCCAAGTTCACAGTCACCCCAGAAACCCCAGATCTTGCTTTTCTACTGCTACTACTCTTGCTGAAACCCAGTAGGGACAACCAAAAATCTGGCATACAGCAACACTCAGTCTGAAAACCACTGTAGCATAAGGATGTGAGATCATAGCGCAACAGCTAACAACCAGGGTACAGGCACAAATGAACAAATCCAAGCTTGCATGACACTTGACAAGTTTCACACTCTATTTAATAACCTAATGTAACCTCGTGGCATCTTAAGATCCTTGGTTTGTTAATTTGAGTGCAACAGCTGTGATAGAATTATTTTTAAAAACACATTCGTTTCATTTAAGAAATACTACTGATAGAAGTCTACAACAACTCTTGGCAAATTGTTTCAATAGTTACTATTAAAAAAACCAAACCCACACACTACGGTGCATATAATGTTTTAGTATCAATCTGGCTTCCGCTTCTCCTTACTGTCTGGCTACTGCATTGTCACCATATTTGTACTTCCCATATACGTACTTAATTACTATGATCATGTAACCCTTCACTTCAGTAAGTTACATATATATTGAGCTCCCTGGACAGGCTGCTGTAAGAATGATTAAAGATTTTCAGAACCCTCTACTATTTTTCCAACATCTTTTTGTGGGGCTTATGCTAGAACTGGACGTGCCATGTCCAGAGAAGGTGCAGTAGGACTAAACACAGAGATTGCATCTTCTGTTCAACACTCCACTGATTTTATATGGACAGAACTAGCCTTCTTGGCAGGCGGTCATCTGTATCTGACCACCCAACACCAACCCTAACTCTTTTTGAGAATTATTGCTTCCCATTCCCTTACCACACATAATGACTTTAATTCCTGGTTCCTTACATGCATGATCTCACGTTTGGCTGAAGTGAAATGCAGAGTTTCCTTACATGCAGGTTATTACACGTTCCCGATGATTGGCCCATCCTGCCCTATTTAATACTCTAGCAATTTTTATCCTAGTTTTCAGGAGCAGTAGTATACATTTCTTCCAAACCACTAATAACGAGCACAGAAACAGGCAGCATACCCATAGCAAGATCCAGTAAAAAATTAATGCTTGATAACAATTCATTTTTCTCAATAATATCTCGAGACCTATAACAACTGGGTAAATGTTTATCAATCAATAATTCTGAAGGAGAGGAAGGACAAGAGCAGTCACTCAGCTGAAGGAACTACTAAAGCCAGTGAAATCCTGTGTCAACAATTTCACACTTTTACACACCCTTAACACCAGGCTGGTGCTGGTTGTTCCGGCCATCCTAGTTACCCCGTAGGTACTGGCACAGCAATGCCAATCCTCTATACTTCCCTAAACTTTTGACTTTTAACAAACCTTGCAGCACACAATGCAAAGAACTTCTGTCAGCTCCTTTGGTACCTTCTAGTGTCAAATTATTCAGACCAGCTAGAAAAAAGCAGCAACTGCTGATGCTGGATGCTAACGTCCTCCTACATTGCTACTCCCAGTGATCAGAGACTGGGATGTTCTGCACAGGGCCACTAGGATATTTCTTGGATATATCAGAGTTCAAGTACAGCACCTCAGGAATACAGGTGTACTACTTACATTGCAGTACACTGAGTTGATAACCTACCTCAGAAAAAGAAATGTATCATAACTATTTAGACTACAGCCCTTTCACACCTGGGCACATGGTATCGGCACACAAGCTGGCTTCATCAAGAGCCAGCCTGCCTCCAAGAAGGGCTTATTAGCTTAGGCTCTCCAGCAGACAGATTCAACAAGGAGGTGGCTTTTGAACCACACAGCTGACTCTGAAAACAGAGTATCTGCATCTGTGCTGTCTTGTGCTTGAACTAATAAACTGTGTTAAACCTGAGCTAGCTTACGAGGCAGTTCAGATGTGGGTATCAGGAACCACTCTCAAACCAGAGAACCTTTGTACAGGTTATTCAGAACTGTTCTTACTCATATGCTACTTTACACAAACAATATTAGGTAAAAGAAAGATTCTGTTGTACTAAAATTCTATTCCATGTAGTAAACCACCCCAGTTAATATAACTCGAGAGCTTCACTGTCCTCTGTTGAGGAATGACTCCTTGTGTCCTATCATTTTTTTCATGCTTTCTAGCTTTGCACTTAAAGGGAGGAATTAACAGCTGTGAACTTATCTGGACTAGCATTGATAAATTTAACATAACTTCCTTGTACAGAGCTTTGCATTTCCACCCTACCCCAGATTATTTCTTTTAAGAATATGACCTTTTTCAGCTGCGGTTTTCTGAATATTAAGCCGTGTGTTCCTAAGCAGCTCAGTGTTCTCCAACTGACTCGCTCATAGCCGGGTTTCACTGTAGAAATCTGTCCATTTGCAACCATATCTAATTTGGACTTTATTTCACTTCACATAAGTAAACATATCAGCAAGTCCTTCCTCTGTCAAATACAAGATTATTACATTGAACAGAACACAAGCTTTCTAAAAACTGCAGAAAACAGCTTCCCAGTTTCAACATGGATTTTCTTTTGCTTATGGAAATGAAGGAAGAAGAGGGCTTGGTAGCATACAGTACTAAAAGGCATAAACTCAAAACGGAGTAAAAGTGTTTCTCCCACCCAAGTAATTTTCAAGAAGCCATGACAGGTAGATGGGAAGCTAAATGGTGTAGGCAAAAAGCAAAAACACAGATGGTCCAGGAAAAGTTCAAGTCACGCATTGGCTTGTATAGCATTTGTCTGTACTCAGCTCAGGGTAGTTTCCTCAGCAAACACATTAACAGCTCTAATCTCAGCCCAAAGAAATAGTAATAACATCCTCTGCTCTCTAAATTGAGGTGCAGGCCACTTGTCTTTTCCCAAGCAGACTCTCAACTCTATGGATTTTGCCTTTCTCACCCCCTGACCCCCAAAGATTCTGTTCAATTTCAGGCTTCTTTCCCAGGTCCACATTTACATGGCTTCAATAAGAAAGGGGTTTGTCTTAAAAACACAAGATTTAAAACAAGCATGTGTTTATTTGTAGTAAGTTTCCATACATTGTGGTAGGTGAGCCCTATCTCCTGGACATGGGTTGGGTAAGGGTAACACTTGTTCATGACACTCACCATGACCGAGAGATTCCTAAAATACTTGTCTTCACACAAAGACAGACTATTATACTGCAGATGGGGAAACAAAGCAAGGAGACTGGATACTTTGTGCAGCTTCAGGCTAGCCAGAGTTACCACCTCTTTTAAAAAAAGTCTCCTGAAATCCACTCATGACAAGAAAGCACATTCTTCCATATCTTGGCATGCATCAGGTTCCAGTTCAAAAATCTTTTAAATACTTTAAAGGTTTGGAGGTTTCTTTGCACATAATAGGAGGGTTCTCTAAAAAACAATCCATTTAAGTCAACAAGACAATGCGTCTCAAAAAAAAAAAAAAGCATTCTCCTCCTTCCCTCCAGCCCCACCCTCGTATTACACAACCCAGAAAGAAATGGAGTAAAATGTCTCCATTTGTGAGAGACCTTAGTGCAAGGGAGGGACTGAGCCTAAGACCAACTATATTTGGAACACAACGCAAAACCCACCTTTTCGCAAAAGCCTTCCCCCAATGATGAGCCGACATCCTTTCATAGCCAGATAATGATTAGCATGAAGAGAAAGAAAAAGAAAGTAAAAAGCAAATGAAGTATGAAGGTGCTGATAACTGAAATCTTTTTGGTAGATGTTAGTTTTATCCAGTATCTGTATGATTAGAGGTAACTTAACATTCAGAGCATTAGAAACACACAGGGCAGAGGATGACTAGTATCAAAGTTCTTATATTGCTTAAGAAGGTGCCAACAGCTGAGAAAAACCTGGAAGAGACAGAATCTGATATCCATTCAAAGAGCTGAAAAACATGAAGAAATTAGAATGCCCAAGACCTGCAAAAATCCATGTTTACTTACAGTAATTAGGAAGCTTTCTTTCTAAAACAGGGAGGACAAATGGTATCAACATTTTTTAAAAAGCATTTATTTTATACAATAGTGAAAATTACGTTCTCATCAGCCAAATGAGCTAATAAAACGTAATCTTACAAAAGTTTCTAGGAATGTTTATTACCTCAGCTGTTACTTCATTTTTGTATGATATACTACGACAAAGTGATATTATAGAATTTCTTGGAAAGCTGTCAGACCATAACAATTACGATAGCCTCATTCGATTCAGCATTTTTAATAAGAAAAAACTGTACTTAAAGACTATCCCTTACAATGTTGATAATCTAAACATTCCAGAACACGATGAACATTTGAGACACTAAATTGCTTCATTACCCTAACTTGGGCACACAACATATAAATACATGGTAATTTCTGGCTGTGCGCTCCCCCTCTGCACTCTTACATACAGAAAAACTTACCAGGAAACATAAAGTTTTTGGAAACACAAAAATATTTTAAATGAAACACGTGAAGACAAATTTCACTGCAGCCCTTCCTAACAATGTGTTAAATTTTATTTCCCATTTATCATTAACATCTTTAAGAACATACAGACTGCTGAGTGCTACTCAGTGTAAGAGAAAAAAGGTTAGCCCTAAGGATATTCACAGAGGTAGCATCTTATTGCGCAGATATATCCATGAAACAGCACGGCTGGGCATCCTACGACTGCTGACGAAGGAACTCTACTGGAAAGTCAAAACACAGACTTACATTTCTGGCAACCACCAAGAGGTGTCACAGCAAACACTCAACCGCAATTATCTATATACCACTTACTGCTCTGGGAATCCCTAAGTCATCATATATTATAAAATATCACATTGTTTTCCTATATTATAAAATAGGAAGACATCAGGTGAAGATGTCCTTTACTAGTCCCGATTTTACTTCGCTCCTACCACTGACCAGGGCACAAATCAGGACGTGAAGCAAGTGGATTTTGTCAGACCCAGTGTGCCCATGCCTATGTTGACATAACCAGTTCTTTGGTTCCAGCACAAACCATTAAAACGCAGATTTTAAGACTAGCTTCCTACACATTCAGTCTTAAGGGTCAACAGTCATAGCTTCCATCTCATGAAATTTTAAATGCTGTCCTACAAAGCAAAATGCTATCCAACATGGCACTAAAATTGTCAGTCCATGAAGGCAGATTTATTCACTAAGTGTGCTACAGCCCTACCATTATGGATGCTATGACTGAGTGGAATAACTGAGAGGAGTCAGAACTCGGCAAGGGAGACAAACAGACCTTCTAGAAATACATTATAGCTGGTAAAGGAGAGAAAACGCTCATTTGGATGCTTCTATTGTCAAAACGTGAAGAAATCACGGCACAATTCTCAGCCTACCATAGTACTCATTCATTTAACCAGTATGACACTTCATGAAAATGAGCAGCTAGTTTAATTAGGTCATATTTGTCAAACAAGCAGTTTAAAGGGAGAACCTGAAGAGTAAATACAGTCTTAAGCACACACAGGCCATACCTCTTGACACACATTCCTAATTCTCCATAACCTCAGCAGAGAGGATAAAATAAAGGAAAAAAAAAAACAGGAGTAACAGTCAGGACAAGGTAGCTACAGCTCAAACCAAGCACAGCAATCCAACTCCCTATGCTGGGCAGCCTGATGGAGGTGGACACCATGGACTGACATACAGGAGACACTCACTTGGCAGAGGGAGCACCGCTACCCAAAGCAACACTTGCATGCTCACAGTCCTGGCCACAGATCAGCAGTGGGAAGAGCTAGTGACAACTGCACCACTGCCCTGATGGCCAGAGCAGGAGAGCCCTGACAGCAGAGCTCTAACAGCCTTCAGCCAAGGAAGGATGCTCCCCTTTGCAGATATACAGGGTCTGGCTCAGGAGTCCTTTCCAAGGGTAACCACTACAGCCTCTGTCAATGTATTTGACATCATTTGGTTCACACTCTATATAGCACACGAAAGAGAGTGAATCTGTAATTCCAT